TTTGTGAGCCGCTCTGAGACTCCTTAGGGTAGTGAAGGGCGGGGTATATATCCAATCCCTCCTCCCCCTTCTTCTTCTTCTTCTTCTTCTTCTTCTTCTTCTTCTTCTTCTTCTTCTTCTTCTTCTAAATGACCACTGGCTGGAAGCAATAAGGGGGTCTTCAGGTCCGGGGATTCAGGCTGAGACGGCTGAAGTTGAATCTGGCGAAGATGGAGGTCTTGTGCGTGGGTCGGGGCGGTTCGGGTGTGGGGACCCCACTCCCAAACTTCAGCGGGGCACCATTGGTGCCAGCGTCGGAGGTTAGGAGCTTGGGAGTGCTCCTGGATCTCTCCTTAACAATGGAGGCCCAGGTAGCAGCCACCGCTAAGTTGGCCTTCTATAGGGATCCCAAGTCCCCCCCGGGGGGTGGGGAAACCCCCGCCTCAGAGGCCCGTTCCCTGGCACCACCGGATCGGGCCCCGGGGGGAACTCCACCTTGACGTGCGCGTCACCCGGAAGTGACGTGACCACGCCGGGCATGCTGGGGGCGGTGCCACGGCCATCCAAGGGAAAACTCTATGGTTTTCTCTTGTATGGCCGTGCCCCCAGCCCCAGCGTGCTTGGCGTCCTCCCATCACTTCCGGGTGATGTGCGTGCGGCGCGTGCGCGCTTTGCACACACGCGCACGCATCAGACGCCGGCTGGGAACCCCCCGCTCCCGGTGAAGATCAACTTGGCAACCCTAGCCTTCTACCACCTTCAGCTGATTCGGCAGTCGGTTCCCTTCCTCAGCCACAACGACCTGGCCACAGTGATCCACGCGATGGTCCCCTCAAGACTAGACTACTGTAACGCTCTCTACATGGGGCTGCCCTTGTCACAAATCCGGAAGCTGCAGCTAACGCAGAACGCCGCGGCCAGGCTTCTGATGGGCCTCCCTAGATGGGAGCACATCCGGCCTGTGCTGAAGTCCCTGCACAGGCTGCCAATAGCATACCGAATTCGCTTCAAGGTGCTGGTGCTTACCTTTACAGCCCTATATGGCCAGGGTCCGACATACCTGAGGGACTGCCTTTCCCCACATATACCCCAAAGAGCACTGTGGTCGGGGTCAAAGAACCGACTGACCTTCCCAGGCCCCAAGGACGCCAGGCTGGCTGTAAACAGGGCCAGGGCCTTCTCAGTGGCGGCTCCTTACTGGTGGAAGGAGCTCCTGGAAGACATCAGGGCCCTGCAGGGCCTTCTACAGTTCCGCAGGGCCTGCAAGCGGAGCTCTTCCGCCAGGTTTTCAACTAAGGAGCCGCCCTCACCATTACCATCAACGAGCCGGGCCCTCAGCCTTCACATCTGGCCCAGACCATCGCGTGACTCAGGAGGGCCACCAAGATGGAACTGTCTGCTTGCAAACATCTCAAGTAACTAATGAAGGATCACTAGCCAGGGCTCTTTTTGTAGAAAAAGCCCAGCAGGAACTCATTAGCATAACAGGCCACACCCAACAGCAGGAACTCCTTTGCATGTTAGGCCACACACCCCTAATGTAGCCAATCCTAATAAAATGTTGGGTGTGGCCTGTTATGCTAATGAGTTCCTGCTGGGCGTGGCCAACTCGGGAGCCAGCCGGAACGCCGTTCCTGTGCGTTCCTGCCCAAAAATAGCCCTGACTAGCACCTTATGATTTTATGACTCATTTGTATTTGAATTGTCTTAAAATGATTTTTATGTGGTCCTATTGGCATTTTCGTACTGACCGTGTTAGCCGCCCTGAGCCTGCTCGCAGGGAGGGCGGGGTACAAATCAAATTAAGAAATAAATAGACTTTGTCTTTTCGTTCCTTGTCCCCTCCTTACTTTCCTCTCCCTTTCTCTGCCTGTCTGTCTCACCCATCCCTGGGGAGCTTAGGGTTTCCTCCGTGTGTGTCCCCCAGCTTCCCATTTTATCCCCAAAAGAAGAAGAGATTGGATGTATCCCCCGCCCTTCACTACCCGAAGGAGTCTCAGAGCAGCTCACAAACTTTTTTCCTGTCCCCGCCCCACGACAGACACCCTGTGAGGTAAAAGAAGAAGAAGAAGAGATTGGATTTATACCCCGCCCTTCACTACCCAAAGGAGTCTCAGAGCGGCTCACAATCTCCTATCCCTTCCCCTCCCCACAACGGACACCCCGTGGGATAGGTGGGGCTGGGAGAGAACAGCTCTGAGAGAGCTCGTGACTGACCCAAGGTCACACCAGCAGGTGCATGTGGAGGAGTGGGGGAATCGAACCCGGTTCTCCCGGATTAGAGCCCACTGCCGATAGCCTTTCCTGGTCCAGACCATCAGCTCTCTCCTTCTGGCTCCCGTCCCTATCATTTCTCTCCTTCTGCCCTCTTCTTCCGGAGCATGGGTCCCAGGGTAAAGGTCAAGGTTTCCCTTGCTCGAAAGCCAGTCGAATCCGACTCTAGGGTTGCGGTGCTCGTCTCCGTTTCCAAGCCGAAGAGCCAGCGCTGTCCGAAGACTTCCCTGTGGTCATGCGGCCGGCGTGACTAGACGCCGAGGCGCACGGAACGCTGTTCCCTCCCCACCGAAGCGGGACCTATTTATCCACTTGCAGTTTCTTGCTTTCGAACTGCTAGGTTGGCAGGAGCTGGAACTTGAGACGGGGGCTCACGCCGTCAGGCGGCGCACTCGGGTCTCGAACTGCCGAACGAACGACCTTCCGGCCTGCAGTTCAGCGTCTTAACCACTTGAGCCACCGCAGCTCCTTATATGGGTCCCAACCCCTCCCTTTACTGTTCCTATCGCAGTTCTGCAGGCAGGATTCGTTCTTTTTCACTTGATTGCGGTTGAGTCTCAAGTGCTGCCGGGGGTCACTGCACCACCGAACCTCACATTTTTTTTACTTCCTTAATACAAATAAACAAAAAACACACACCTTTATTAATCAAGAACAGGGAAAGGTAAAAACAGATTACAATCAATGCACACCGCATTTAAATATATATATATATTTAACGGACACTTCACCATCTTCAAATTTGTCGTTCCGGAGCGTAATCAATGTCCTCACCTCCATAATTTTATCAGCATGACCTAGAACACGGGTCCCCAACGTGGTGACCATGGGCGCCGTTGGCACCCACCCGCACCTCCTCTGGTGCCTGCCAAGGAGGGCTACCATCTCCTGCCATTCCAGTTGATCTCCAGACGACCACGGTCAGCTCCCCTGGGGGAAATGGCCGCTTTGGAGGCTGGAGTCTACGGCGTTCTAACCTCCCGGGGTCCCTCCAATCCCCAAACCCCGCCCTCCCCAGGCTCCACCCCCCAAAAAAATCTCCCAAGTATTTCCAAATCCAGAGGTGGTTTACCGTTGCCTGCAGAGTCTTCCTCGATGGTCTGCCTTCCAAGGACTGAATCATAGAACCATAGAGTTCTTACAGGGGTCATTTTGTAGAAAAAGAGATGCAGGAGCTCATTAGCATAACTCATTAGCATGACTCATTTGCATATACCACACCCCCTGACATCACCAGAAGTGTGTCAGAAGGCAACACCCACCGCTCAGGCTCCCCTGGACTGTTTTGGATTGCTAGCTGTTGGGGGGGGGGGACGTGCAGATTGTCCTCGCAGAGGAGGGAGAGCTTGTACCTGAATAAAACTTGGTCTTAAAGGTGCCACTGGACTGTTTTGGGCTGGGGGGCTCTGCAACATACCTGGCGGCTTCTTGCTCTGACTGAGGGCTGTTGGGAGCAGGGAGTGGGGCTTGTTACATGTGCCCGCCCCCTGGGCTCTTTACTGCCGGAGCTCAGCTCCTGTGCGCTCCTGCAGGAAATGACCCCTGGAGTTGGAAGTGGGACCTCCAGGGTCATCTAGGCCAACCCCCCTGCACAGTGCAGGAAATTCACAAATACCTCTCCTCCCCCACGCCCCCAGTGACCGACCCCTGCTCTATGCCCAGAAGAGGGCAAAAAAACAAGAAAACACAACCAGATAGGGGCTCTGGGGCAAGGGATGCTCTGTCTTCTTGATGCTTGGAGGGGTCAACAGTGGGAGGGCTTCTAATTTCCTGGCCCCACTGGTGGACCTCCTGATGGCACCTGGTATTTCTGGCCACTGTGTGACCCAGAGTGTTGGACTGGATGGGCCTTTGCCCTGATCCAACATTGGCTTCTCATATGTTCTTATATGGAGCAGACGTCCATCTGTGGCTGTTAGCCACAAAGTATAGATAGGGACTCTGGGGCAAGTGTTGCTCTGTCGTCTTGGTGCTTGGAGGGGTCAACAGTGGGAGGGCTTCTAATGTCCTGGCCCCACTGCTGGACCTCCTGATGGCACCTGGTATTTTTGGCCACTGTGTGACACAGAGTGTTGGACTGGATGGGCCTTTGGCCTGATCCAACGTTGGCTTCTCTGATTGTCTTATGTTCTTAACCTCCAGGATCCCTGGCTGATCTGGCCTGGAGAAAAGTTGCGTCCTGACCCCAAAGTGGCGATCAGCATTTCCCCGGGCTTGTAAGAAAGGGCCACGAGAACCAAGCACTGATGCAACCAATACTCCCTCTAAGCTGTGAAGTCTTGTAAGCAAAAATTCTATTTTGTGAGCTCCAGGCATTAAGGTCATGAGACAGCGATTTGGCTACTGCATCAATTAGTTTGCTCCGAAGCCATCCCTTCCTGAGCCAAGATAAAAATGTGTGAGCCGGAGGCTAAAAACCTGTGAGCTTGCTCACACTAACTCAGCTTAGAGGGAACACTGGATGCAACCCTTCCCTCCCTCCCTCTCATGAACTGCTTCAGTCCGCAGAATCAGCATGGCTGTCAGATGGCCATCTAGCCTCTGGTCCAAAACCTCCAAAGAAGGAGAGCCCACCACCTCCCGAGGAAGCCCATCCCACAGAGGAACCACTCTAACCGTCTGGAAGTTCTTCCTCTCGTTTAGCCGAAAACTCTTCCAATTTAATTTCAACCCGTCGGTTCTGGTCCGACCTTCTGGGGCAACAGAAAACACAGTGCAGATCCTTGTCAGAAAACTGACACCGCTCGGCTCCCGCGATCTGGTGAGACGAGGCTCTACAAGGTCGCCTTCCCTCCCAAATAAAAGAAGAAGAGAAGATTGGATTTATACCCCGCCCTTCGCTGCCCAAGGGAGTCTCAGAGCGGCTGACAAACTCCTTTCCCTCCCCCTCCCCATAACAGACACCCTGTGAGGCAGGTGGGGCTGAGAGAGCTCTTTACGGAAACAGCTCTTTTTTTTTCAAGAACAGCTCTTATCAGAACTATGGCTTGCCCAAGGTCATCCAGCAGCTGGATGGGGAGGAGTAGGGAATCAAACCCGGTTCTCCCAGATTAGAGACCGTGCACTTAACCACTACCAGGGGTCATTTTGTAGAAAAAGAGGTGCAGGTGTTCATTAGCATAACTCATTAGCATAACTTATTTGCATATGCCACATCCCCTGACGTCACCGGAAGTGTGTCAGAAGGCAACACCCACCGCTCAGGCTCCACTGGACTGTTTTGCATTGCTAGCTATTGGGGGGGGGGATGTGCAGATCTGTCCTCGCAGAGGAGGGAGAGCTTGTACCTGAATAAAACTTGGTCTTAAAAGTGCCACTGGACTGTTTTGGACCGGGTGGCCGGGGGAGCTCTGCAGCTTACCTGGCTGCTTCTTGCTCTGACTGATTGCTGCTGAGAGCAGGGGGCACGGCTTGTTGCATGTGCCCGCCCCCTGGGTTCTTTACTGCCGGAGCTCCGCTCCTGTGCACTCCTGCAGGAAATGACCCCCACTACACCAAACTGGCTCTCTATATACTGGCTCTCTACATACACCCCATAATCTACAAGGAGTCGGATAACATCAAGATTTGGTTTTATATCAGCACAAGTCATGCTTCTCTTTCCTTTTCTAGTTCTGCCGCTGGAGGAGGAGCTCACGTCTTCAACTGCAACCGAATGTGCAACTGCTCTTCCATGGCCTTCAACCCTATATGCGGCCAGAATAATATCGAATACATCTCCCCTTGCCACGCCGGCTGCTCAGCTCTACATTACGATGCCGCGAGTAAGAAAGTCTTGGTGAGCAGAGAGTCTTTGTGATTCTGAGTTATGGGAGACCCTAAGAGGAAAGCCATGAGCCGGTGGGGAGGGTGACATGCAGGGGAGAGATTGGAGGGGCAGAGCGGATCCTGCGTTCCCTTCCCCCTTCTGCTGCTCTGCTTCAGTTTGCTCCTTCAAAAGAGGCTTAGAAATAACCTGTGTGTGTTACGAAAGAGTCACAGAATCATAGAGTTGGAAGGGACCTCCAGGGTCATCTAGTCCAACCCCCCGCACAGTGCAGACACAACAAGGAACAAATCGGTTTGTACCACAGTGCATCATGCAATACAATTATACAGCATCGATACAAAATGGACCAGAAAGGAAATATTCCCGAGCGGAATTTCTAGGCGTAGAATGAAAGTATAACCTGTGTGTGTTACGAAAGCAGAGGTCATTTCGGGGGGGATCGCGGGGGATCACAGTTCCCCCGGGTGAGGTACGGGGGGGCACATGACGAAGCCCCGCCCCCTGCTTTCGGCCGCCCCGCTTCCGGCCCTCATTCAGCCAGGAGGAGGCAGGAGAAGAGGGAGGGTAAGTTGCTTCCTCCCTGCCTCTCCCCACCCCTGCCTGCCTGGGGCCAGGGAGAGCCTTCA